CTTACTTTTCTATAACATACCATACTACTGGCAGAATTGATCGGGGGGTATCCTCCGAACATTTTTCGTGCACTTCCAAAACACCTAGCACTATCCCGAATAAGGGCAATCCACCTGGAATCTCGCAATGCTTCAAAAACCCCTACTTTCGAAGCACACCTTATTCATTTTAAATATTTCCCATCTGCGAATATTCCTTTTGTTCTGTCACTCACAATGCATAAGCGTCACTCGCACCTTAGCCCCGTCGAACTAGAGCTAGGTATAATGCAAGAAAAAGCAGATCGCAAAAAGCATACCGTTGCATCGATGAATTCGCAGTTTTTGATTAAGGTGCGGCAACGGCTCATCAAATGCCAGCATAAATTCATCAAAACATCCGATGTGAAACTGAACAATACTCGATTAATTTTCACGATAAGAAAGACAATTCGGTGGTATAAAAAAAAACATTGTAAATAAGAAAACCCTCTTTTGCTAAAACTTCCCGAAATTCTGGAATTCAAGATAAAGCTATCTGTCACTAGTATGGGTGTGCCCAACTGCCAACAACGCGAAAACACAGAGAAAAAAGACAGTGTGCAAAACCTGGACCTTGCAAACACTGACCGCAAGAGGATTTAAGTCGCCACGTTACACAGGCTACCCGAAAAAGAAATCATAGCTGTTCAGCAAGTCGGTACTTCCCATAAATTTATCAACAATTTCGCCATAATCCCATAGAAATTTGACGTACCCAAAAATATGTCGAAAAGAACTGCTTACCTCGAACAGGAGGAAGAGGAACAGCAATTTCCTTCACAGAGATACTAAAACCGCTTGGTGATCAAAAAAACAAGAAAACTGGGCATGGAAACGTGATCTATGACAACGAAAATGTTTCTCGAAAAGGAAAGGGCCGTAGTACGTTAAACTGGGATAATGAGCTAAGAAACGGTATTAAAAGGCGAAAAAACTGCGAATTTGCGCACCAAGAGCAATATGGAAAAACAGCGCCAGCTTAGCCAACATGCGCACTTCCAGGTCGATGACGTCAATTTTGTCATCAGAAACCAAAATCGACACAAGCCCTCCTCACTGGCAGCTACCTAAGACGTTTAGTCAGAAAAGCAAACACAACAGCATTATTAGGAAAAAAAGTTTAAAAAAAGAACATGCCTTCTTCTCAATGAATAACTGCCATCGCGGTCCACTACACACAAGCATAATTCCAAAACTGAGTTCTTCGCGCCACAGCCGTTAATCGATGAACCAAAAACAATCAGTAACGATTGCGGATAGAACTAACAAAAAAAC